CAGTGAGAGGAGCATGCGGCCCGGCGATATCTCGCGCAGGCATACACAACACGCGTTGAAAGCAAGCAAAAAACGATAATGATGCCTCAACGTGCATGTATAAATTTTTTCTCACACTTAGTCAACTGTGTGAGACAAGCTTTCTCTTTTTTTCTCCGTTTCTCTTCTTTCTTTATGCCCTTGTTGTTGTTTATTTCTGTTTTTTTTTTTATGTCGTTCGTCTCTTTCACCCACCCCACCCCTAACCCCCAACTTTGTTATGCTTCAAGCCTGAGGCCCCAGCCACCCCGTCCATTTACCTCCTTTCGTCGGCAAAAAAATACCCCCTCACTGGGGCCACCAGTTTTGCTGCCCTACCCCTCTCCTTTTTGTTTTTTTTGTTTGCTTTTTTTTTCTTCTTATTACTGTTGCTTCTTACTTATATTATATATATAAATATATATATCATACGTCATCTTCCTACCCCCTGCAGCTGCTTCCCTGTGGTTCAGCGTCCGCGCAGCCAAGCGCGCAACCCCCGTGTGTTGCATGGCTGCGGCTGTGTGTAAGACTTTGGTCGCGCAGAGGAGTGAAAGGGGAGAGGGGTGCAAGAGTCTTTTGCGCATTCCTGCTTGCCGCCTGCCTCCGTACTCACTCACACAAGCACACACACACGCCTCCCGCTTCTTCCCGCGTGGGTTGGGACGAGTTGGGACGAGGGCTCAATAGCGGTAGTGGTCCGGCTTGAAGGGACCGTCAATGGGGCAGTTGATGTACTCCGCCTGCTTCGCAGTGAGCTTCGTCAGCTTGGCGCCGAGCTTGCCGAGGTGCAGCGCCGCTACCTTCTCGTCCAGCTTCTTTGGCAGAAAGTAGACCTGGGCCTTGTCGCCGCGCGGGTACTTGCAGGTATCGCGCTGCGTCCATAGCTCAATCTGCGCCAGCACCTGGTTGCTGAAGGAGTTCGACAGGACAAACGAGGGGTGGCCGCTGGCGCAGCCCAAATTCACGAGGCGGCCCTCTGCAAGCACGATGATGTGGCGGCCGTTGTGCATGGTGTAGCGGTCCACCTGCGGCTTCACCTCCACCCGCTCCTTCGCGTTCGCTTTGAGCCACGCCACCTGAATCTCAGTGTCAAAGTGGCCAATGTTGCACACAATCGCGTCGTCCCGCATGCGGGGGAAGTGCTCGGCGGTGATGATGTCGTCATCGCCGGTTGTCGTGACGAAGAGATGCGCCGTCTCCACAATGTCCTCCAGAAGCAGCACCTGGTACCCTTCCATCGCCGCCTGCAGCGCATTGATTGGGTCCACCTCTGTGACTACCACACGGGCGCCGAAGGCGCGCAGCGCGGCGGTGCAGCCCTTGCCCACGTCGCCGTAGCCACAAACGCACGCCGTCTTTCCGGCGATCATCACATCCGTGGCGCGTTTGATGCCGTCCACCAGCGACTCGCGGCAGCCGTAGAGATTGTCAAACTTGCTCTTCGTCACGCTATCGTTGACGTTGATGGCGGGGATGGGTAACCTGCCCTGCTGCAGCCGCTTGTACAGGTTCTTCACCCCTGTCGTCGTCTCCTCCGTGATGCCGTAGATCTTGTCGACAAGGTGGGGGCAGTGGTCAATGACGTAGTTCGTCAGGTCACCGCCGTCGTCGAGGATCATGTTCGGCATGCCGTCACCGCTGTAGCCCTTGATGGTCTGCTCCAGGCACCACTGGTACTCCTCATCCGTCTCGCCCTTCCAGGCAAACACAGCGATGCCGCGCTTAGCCATCGCCGCGGCGGCGTTGTCCTGCGTGGAAAAGATGTTGCAGGAGCTCCAGCGCACCTCCGCGCCGAGTTCGATGAGGGTCTCAATAAGCACCGCCGTATCCACCGTCAAGTGCAGGCAGCCGGCGATCTTGGCACCCTTGAGGGGCTTTGACGGACCATATTCGCGGCGTAGCTCCATGAGCCCTGGCATCTCATTCTCTGCAATTTCAATCGCCTTGCGGCCCCACTCGGCCAAGCTGATGTCTCGGACTTTGTAGTCAGTCATGGCTGCGGAAACGACGTTAACGGCGCGGTGTGTACGTAAAGCGCGAGTGTGTGTAAGTAGCTGGGTGGATATTTCGAGCGTAACGTTCAACGTCCTTCGCGTTAAGGTCCGCCGCCACGCCGTTGTTATTGTTGGGGGTGGAAATAAAGAGAAAAAAGAAGTAATAAAAATTAAAAGGGGGCATCCCAGCGGCGTCCTCCACCCACACTAGCGAAAGAAAGAAGAAAGAGGAAGCGGGGGAAAGAGGACGCCCCGGCACACACACACACACGAACACAACGTGGCGGTGGCGCCGGGTGCGGCTCAGTCAGAGGTGAACTGCACATACTCCGCCCCGGACTCTGCCTCGACGCCGAGGACGTCTGCCTGCATTCCGTGACGCAGCAGCGCGGCGTACTCCACGACGAGGTGCATGCCGTTCACAAACGCGTTTTCCGACCGGGGCCGCGCCTGCAGTATCGCATGCTGCACAGACGAGAGGTGGAGAACAAACGCGACGTTGTGCGCCACCCGCAGCTGCGCGTCTGCGGCGTCGGCGTCAGCGTCCTCCACTTGAACCACCTGAATAAAGTCGTTCGGCGCGGCGCGCTCGACGAGGCCAAAGAGTTTGTGCTCCCCAAACCACACCTCCACGAAGGGTCCGTGGTTGCCGCCCGCACCTCATCAATGTCCGCCTGCAGCAGCTTCACCTGCAGCTGCGTACCCCGCTCGAAACGCCGCACAAACTCCTCCGGCGGCGGGGGCATACCTGGCTGCCGCGGCAACTCCTGCTTCTGCAGCTCCTCCACCTGCTGGGCAGTGTAGCTGTTGACATCGTCGAAGCAGTCGGCGCAGTTGAGCCGCGTAAGAGCCTTCTTGTGGCTATTGTGCGCCGTCACCACCCCGACACCGAGGACCCTGATGGCCTGGCGGGACGCTACCGTGGCGGTGAGGAAGACAAGCAGGCTGACGGCAAGGCCGCCCACAGGGTGACGCCGCATCCACGTCCAGCGCTTCCTGCCTACGGAGAGCGCCGCGAAGCCGGCGGCGGCCCCCACGCCGAGAGTGACGTTCATCGTCATGAAATCGTATCGCCACCGTCCGCCCTCCTTCGCCCGCACC